TTGATGCCACTTTGCTCCAAATTCTAATATAAGCTTCTCAGGGATGTCTAAATTGTGCTGAAGCCACTGGAATAAAACCCAAAAAACTTCACTGCTTGAGTATTTTGTAACACTTTCTGAGAAATTTGCATCTCCTAAATAGATATTCTTGTTTTTAGGACAAATCTGAAATATGTATTGTTAGTGACAATATTTCTATTAAATAAATTATGCTGAATAGTTGATTTGCATCGTTAATAACTTATTTTCTGCTGTTGCTCTTCAACAAGGAAGAGGCCAAGAGGCTGGATTTAAGGTCACAAGTCAGGCGAGATCCCTTGGCTGTAGCATGTTTGACATGTCTTTCTAACCTAAGTTTCTGCATTTTTGTTCAGCAAGAAAAGAGTCCACATGCTCTGTTTAAACTAAAGAAAAATATTGGGACTTTATTTGCCTTGAGTCAGATTGCTGCATTTGGCTCTTTTATGTTGTATTTCTTCAGATGTTAGATGTAAGGTGCAAATTTCATGTGTTGGTTTGACAACATGCATCAGGCAAATTTTAGTAACATAGCAGTGTTAACTTTAGTAGTAGAACAGAGAAGAGCATCATTGTCAGCAAGTCCAAGGGAATAATGTAGAAACACATGTTTCTGACTGTGCTTGCTTGAGGCAAGTGAGAGCATTGTATACAAATAAAGCTTCTGAGGCTGTACAGGAGTTGAAAATATGTGTATGAATTATGTTGATACTAAAGCCCAGCATAACAAGCTTTTTGGAGCAGCTACATAACTTTTAGTGCCCATAAGACAGACTATATTATACTTACCTTGAATGAGTACATGGAGTACTTTGATCTCTGCTACATTGCCAGCAGCCAGAAAATCTGGGCTTTATCTTTTGCATCTTCTTTCTATGAAACCACCTTAAGACTTCTTCAGGAATCAAACGCTTCAAGTTCTGTACCATAATTTGACCTATATCACACAGACAGACTGTTTCTTTACAGGTTTTCCACCAGACAGCATAAGGATAAATATATTTAAAAGAATGCAGACAGAACTGTTCTGGTCATAAAAGGGGAAATATCCAGAAAAAAAAAAAAAAAAAGAAATACCTCTATTTATGGAGAGGGAAAATTATTCATTGCTTTCCTGTCACTTACAGAAACATGCTTTATGTCCTGTCCTGCAAAATTTTATCTTGATTTAATGCAATAGGCTGTGGAGGCTGCTGATGATTAAGTAGAAAAGCATATTTATGGATGGCTAGGTGTAATCTAAGTGTCTACTAAGAAGATCTATGCTTTCCATATTTATTCTGTGCAATGGAAATGAAATGTGAAAAGAGAAAATCAGCTCTCCTGTATCTGCACTGTTGCAATGTAAACTGCTTGAATGACATCCTTAACTCAGTTATTGACAGAATTAGAAATTTTGATAATGGAAAATAAAAATTAGATGAGCTTACATCTTCCAAGTATACAAGAAAAATCATGTTTATTACCAGGATCTCCTTACACATGATAATGCATAGTTCCTGAGGTATGATTATGAGAAAATTATATTCCATTAATTGTTCCAAACATGTGTAAAGCTACCTCTCCCCGAGTATAACAAATCTGCTATATTTATGGTGGTGATGATTAGGCTTTTTTTGCAAAATGATTGTGGAGATCAGCATCCTGAATGTATTAATTGATTTCTTTGTACATTCACTTCTCAATTCAGTACTTTGAGTTGTAGTATGAACTAATAAGCCAATGAAGTTAAGAAAATCCGTATTTCCAGATTTATGTCAAATAACTTTCCATGATGACAAAGATGATTTCTTTATAGAAAGAAGGTAGTGTCTTATGCTGTTATGTTGGCATCAAATAAATCCAATATTACTAATGACTGAAGGAATGATGAAATATTTCCTGTATAGACCAGTGAGATGAAGCACAGATATTCTTTATTGTGCTTCTCACTCTTTAGTAGGTGCACCTAAATTTTGGTCTGTAAAGATATTTTTAATAAGTACTAAATTGTTACTGGCCAACTTGAAATTAAATTAAATATCAGGTTAAAACTTGCAGGTACCATTTTCTCTTAGGTATCTTTTTTTTTTTTTTTGTTTTCCCCTGCAAAAGTATAGAAGAAATAAAACACTTTGGTTTTGCTTTCTTTCAGTTTTTTAAAAGGTTTTATCTTCTTCTGGACTTCCTCAATATAATTTCTGGGGTTTTGTCTCTGTACAGGCTATTAGTTTAACAGACAAGCCAAAAAGTTGGCAGCTACCTGTAGTATATACTTCTATCAGAGGATAAGTACAATGCCTGGTCTGATTGATTCTCTCTATAGCAGTAATAGAGTATATTGAAATAACATATACTACAATTCACGTAAAGCTCAAGTAAATTATGAGGAGTGTGAACTAGCTACTTTAAAACACTTAAAGCTTCTTAGTACAAAGTAGATCAAAATGCTTACATAAACTGAACTTCCTTCTCCATCAGAGATACCTGATATGAAATGATATATGGAAATGAACTATTTCCATAGAGTTCTTACTCTTGAGAGGACTTTTAAATGTCTTTGTTCTTGTAAAACCCACACAAAATGCAATAGAAAGAAATGAATGAAAGCAACACTAAAATTGAGAGTGAACCATGACTAGTCTTGAAATAGACCACTTAAACCCTGACGTCCTAATAATCTCATTCATTAGAATTTATTTTGATTAAGACTTGTTTTTCTTGAGGACAGAGTCAGACCAACAGTACTTAGTTACATTTTGCTTCCTGGAACCAAGATATGTCCATGTTAATGAGAAGATGCTGTCTGCTCAGCATTTCTGTAGTTTTGTTATTTTTACTCTTTGAAATAATAGGCACTGAGTGGGAGAATATGAGATCTTGCTCAGAAAATATAAAATTTCAGTTACCCACATAAGAACTTTTTAATAATAAATGAGATAGCTATGATTCAAGGCTTTTTCTCCTGACACTCTAAGATACCTTCCTGCTATCTTCTTTCTCTATCAAACAGATACTGCTTTTTGAATGCAAAGTCCCTTCAAGGGCATTCAGAATTTACTGACCCACTCCCGATTTGGACGTCTGGATTTGTCAGAATGTCCTGTGTTATGCTGACTATTAATTAGGGAGGGAGGGAGGGAAGGAACCAGAGGTGTGCCACCCTCACCTGAGCATGAAGTGAAGGTTTGCTCTCTCAGGTAGTTCCCATCCCTCCTCTGCTGGCAAGAGGAGCAGAGCTCTGTGGGGTTATTCTGAGTGCTACTGAAAGGTATTGACAGCTGAAGCGGTTGCACAAATGCTCTCATGTTGGTGTGATGATGCATTGAGGTGTGGCACTTCTCCTGATCTCTTCTAAGCAGGTGAGAAAAAAGGGCAAAAGCCTGCTGTTCATGCTATCTAGTATAGGTATCCATCTGATTTAATTGATATTACTATATTTGAGTCCAAAGATGATTTAAAGTAAGCTTCCTTCCTGACCGCATCTGTCTTTCTGAGAAATTCAAGCCATTTGCTATTTGTAGGAACTGGTATAATGTGAATCAGCTGGATTTAGCAAGCACAAGTCTATAGATCAAATAACTGCTATGTGTTACTGGAAAAGTAACAAAGAATGCATGGGCATTTAGGTGAGCAACAGGAAAAAACTGCCCCAAGCTTTTATCTGAATTATGTTTATGACTTCTAGTTTGAAATGTTCATACAATGTGTAATACTTTCCAGTATTCTGGTCTTATAAATATTCTCAGTTTCAGAAGAAGCCCTTTTAAACCATTGCTTCATACTGCAGAAAAAATAGATAATGGAAGTACTTGCTTGTACTTACAGCAACATTAGTTGCTGTAGTCACATATTAACTCACTGCTTTGGGATTATTGTATGCATGAAAACTAAAATGTGACATTCAGCATTGGTTTTCAGTGTGGAGTTGCTTCATAATTTAATCTTTTAGAGGATTATTCCCTTTCTATTACTGCACATTTGGTATACTCTTTGCCTAACTTGTAAGTATTTTCCTTCAGTTGAAAAGAGTAGTTGCTGTAGATCTTTGATAGCTTCTCATGTTATAGTTTACAAAGCATCACCTCTGTTACAAATGACCAGAGGACAGCATTATTTACATATCTTCAAGTAACCTCTTAAACTCAATATGTTGCATATTTTCAATCCAGGTGGATTTCTATGATAATGCAGGCAAATGTAGCTGAATATGGAAAGGACCATGGTTTTGTACTGTGAATATGGGAATCTCAAATTTTCCAGGAACTTGTTTGTTTGGCTAAGAAAAAGATAAGAGATGAGCTGTATGGAAATGGAGGTTTCAAAGCACAGAAATAAGTTGTGTGCTTTTGAAAATTTAAAACCTAGCCTGAACAGAAAAATTTAAAAACACAATGTGAAGAATTTAAAAACCAGACGATGGTCTATGTTCTGGCTTGCTAGAATAAATCTGTTAAGCTTAACTGGAATGGAAGCTTTTACAGAAAGGCTGATTTTTGGATACTATAATCTTAACTGTAGAAACTGGTGCAGGAATCTTTGGACATGTTAGTATATGCCTTAACTGAAAACAGTGTTGTTAATTAAGTAGAAGAATGAGAATGTTTTAATCTAGGATGTATTACTGCATTTATTGCTTTCTGTACTTTTAGTAGAATTTAACACCTTTCCAGTAACTTCCTTCTACAGATATTTCTTGTTTACTTAATTTAAAAGGATGTGAGTTGATATTGGGCAGGTTGAATGTGTTAGTCAGCTGGGTATAACAGAAGGCCCTCAGTAAACATTATACTGAAAAATACCTTGGCTTACTTCAATCATAAGATTTATATAAAAGTTCTCTTCAGTTTTGTGTAATATTAGCCATTACCATCCCTCATACTGTTAGACCATAAATGATCTAACAGCACTTTGTTGATATTCTTATGATATTTTAGCTGAGTATATACTACTTTTTCACAAAAGATCTCAGCATCTTGCTTTCCTTTTTTTCTGACTTTTAGTGCATGTTGAGGCTGGAGCAATGATTTGAAATCTCACATGCAGTAAGTCCGTGATTCATGCAGTTAGGTAAGTAAATGACACAGTAAAATGTGTGCACAGTTGGGTTCGGAGCTTAATGCTTGGGCTATTATGCCAGTAATGAGTGTCTGAAGTAACATAACACAAAGACTTGAAATACTGTATTGCCTTAGAATGGAGTGTGCTTTTCTTTTGTAGTTCAGGATTGTTGTCAGTCTTTCCTAAGTATCATAAAACATCTAATGCTAAATATAATCACAAGTAGCACTCACCTAAATAATGTCTTGCATGTTGATGGGACTTTTGTGCCATATGCACAGGCAGGGAGCTAAAAGATTAAGTTATATAAGTTTTCATTTCAAGGTCTGACTGCTTTGTTTGTATATCATTCTCAAGAATTATGAGTAATACATCTCTTAAGCCAGAGCAATTGAAAGGAAAGGAGATTTCAGTAGCTTAAATCCTGTAAATTGTAGCTGAATAAAATACAGTATGAAGCTGAAGAGCCTCATCAGACAAGGACTGAATAGCAAAAGCAGAGCAAAAGCTGGGAGTTGGGGAGGTAAGTGAAATAACTGATGAGTAGTTTAGGTGATGATACAGCATGAAAAAAACTTGAACAATAATTTTCTACTTAACAGATAGTTTTTTACTGTCTGGTGTGTAAGCAGTAGCTTATTCTGTTGCACCGTCTCACAGGACTTCTTTACAGGCAAAGAAGCTAAAAATTTTGAGGTTAAAATGCAACTTGAAACAAAATCAGCCACTCTCTCCTATCATGATTTTAATGCAGCAGGAGAAGGCCTTTGTGCTGCTGTTGTCATAATGGCAAAAAGGGGAGAAGCAGGGAACACACCTATCAAAACCAGTGGAAGGTTTGGGAGGTAGAATGATGTTGAAAGATTGTGAAGGCATTTTTAGCAGCTTCTCCTCAGAGCAACTTGGGAGCAATGAGGCCAGGGAAGAATTTACAGAAACAATCAAATCATGTCTGTGGCTGAGACAAAGGATTTGCCCATATGACCCAGGAGAGATCTGACTCTGAGTTTCCTGTCCATATGTGGTGCAGTTTCTAAAAAACAAGATAACATTTGGATGAGGAGCCAGAGGGAGATACAAGGATAATGACCACATTGGCAGTCTTGACTTGTCGCTTCACAGAATGATTTGGGTTGAAAGGGGCCTCTAAGATCACCTGGTTTCAAACTCCCCAGTTTCAATGAAGACAGCTTCATCCAGGATGTTTCTCAAGGTCAAGCAGCAATGAAGTTTGTTCAGTGCAGTCTCTCCCTCTTTCCTGAAACAATCTCCTGGTAAGGACAAGTACTTCAAAAATCTATACTCTCAAATGCTATTAGAAACCCTGCAGAAATAATTTTGATGCATAAATATATTTCACTTCTGACTGCTGTTGGACTACTTTGGATGCCAAAAATTCACAAGAGAAAAAATGAAATATGTCATGTTTTGTAAGTAAGTCCAAGGAAAATCTGGAGTTGAATGGCAGGCTCTTTTGAAGGGGCAGTCTGAATGATGAAAGTTTGTGTTGCCTCAATTCCTACCCTGTATTATTGGGGTAGTATTTAAATTCTCGTGGTTGTTTTTGTTTGTTTTTTTTTTCAATTGTATAAGTAATTGGATCAAAAATCTGTCTTCAACATATTTCCAAAACAATTCCATACTCTCCTGATTGTCTTGATAGTAATTAGAGATAATGTTGAAATTTTTTACTGAATAATAATTTTTTTATATAGCTGTAAGTTAATTCAAATATCTGTATTTCAATATTAAGAATTTTAGATTTTTTTTTAGGTTTTGGGGGATAAAGAAGTGTGGTTAGGGTTTTGAAATATAAAACAAATTTAATAAACTTTTGGAAAATTTTTTTACAAGTCATGAAAGAAGCATACAGGATGAAAGAAGTACACAAAAGCACACATAGGCTGCTTCTTTACCATAACGTTCTTTCCTTAAAACACTGCCTATTGATTTATGTAACCTGTATTTGGTTTGTGCTGTCAATATAGTATTATGAATAATATAATTTAATTTTATCTTCTTAAGCTCAGGTAGTTCAGCTGTATCATCTTCAGACAAATAAGAAACATGCTGTAAAGAGCTGCAACATGACCTTTGGTTTTTTGTATTGCATAGAAACTTTGTCTTGGCAAAAGAATGCATGCTTGTGAAAGGGGCACTTGTTTTATTTTAATTTCAGATGTAAGTAATCCTTTTACATTTAGTATTCATTTAGTATCCTTCTACTTGTCTATTTCAAGTTTTGGTGGCTGTGTACTCCTCATCTCTGAGCTGATGCACTGTGAGTATTGCTGAATAGGGATTTTCATGCCTTCGAAGTCTTCTGTGTGTCAGAATGAGGAGGCTACCATATAGTGCTGGATTTCACACAGTAATAAATACTAGTAGAAAAACGACTAAGATATCAGTGACAAAGCAATTGCATAAAGCTTTTTATACAGGAAACCATTAAATTTGTTCTATGATTTCTTCTCTAAATTAATTTATTGCAAGTTTCAGATGAAATATCCAGTAAGTTGTAGTACAAGTATGCTTGAAAACAATTTGAAACAATTGATGATGGGATAGGGAGAGACTTACAAGAGAGATTATGGGAAAAATACTGTCTTTTGCCTAATGGGGGCTGGAGAGAGGTAGAACTCTGGCCATTCCCCACTGGTCTCACTGATATGTGGAAAAATGCATAACATACGAGCAGCCCACTCAATAAAAAATACATAAATAATACCCAAAATACATAAATATGAGCAGCTATTAAAGTGCCTGCACTGAGATTATCAAATCTCAAGGAACAGTGATGTTGCCCAATTTATCCAGTTGCTCACCACTTTTAAGAAAGTCAAGGCACCTGTTAGCCAGGTGAAAAATTATAAAGTTGTGTGGTCACCCTGGATGTACGGACAGGCTGGGGGATGAAACTCTTGAAAGCAGTGCCATGCAAAGGAACCTGGGGCTCCTGGTCCAAGGCCACATGGATCTGGGTCAGCAGTGCCCTGGCAGCCAGGGGGCCAGTGGTGTCGTGGGGGATATTAAGTACAGCATTGCCCCTCACCCAAGGGAGAGGATTGCCCTGCTCTGCTCTGCACTGGAGCAGCCTCACCTCCAGTGCTGGGGACAGTTTTGGGTACCACAATATAAGAAAGAGATGAAGTTATTAGAGACTGTCTAAAGGAGGAGTATGAAGATACTGAAGGGTCTAGAGGAGAAGTCATATGAGGCCTGGGTGAGGTCACTTGGCTTGTTCAGCCTAGAGGAGATTGAGAGGAACTTCATGGGAGTTTTACAGCTTCCTCATGAGGGGAAGCAGAGAGGCAGGCACTGATCTCTTCTCCGTGGTGAACCAGTGACGGAACCTGAGGGAGATGCCTGGAAGTGTGTCAGGGGAGTTTTAGGTTGGATATCAGGAAATGGTTCTACCCCTAGAGGGTGATTGGTCACTGGAACAGGCTGCCCAGGGCAGAGCACCAAACCTTCCAGAGCTAAAGAAGCCTTTGGACAATGCTCTCAGACACAGGGTGTGACTCTTGGAGATGGTGCTGTGCAGGGCCAGGAGTTGGACTTTGATAATATTCATGGCTCCCATCCAAATCAGGATATTACATGATTCAATGACATTTTTAAGATGTTATAATTTTCAATCATAGTGCTTCTCCTCAGTAATGATCAGGAGGGAAGTTAGGGTAGTTTCTATTCAATTTAGGCAGATACACGAAGAAATTGGGAAAGAACACTTTGAAGTGTACCTTTGGCATATTTTTTGAACAGAGGGGAAATTTCCATCAACTGGAGAAAATAATTTCATTACTTAGAGCATTAGGAAGGTATTGGATAGGAGGTGATATAGGAAACATCTGTAAATAACTTTCTCAACAACAGTAAGAATGCTAGACATTATACCATATAGAAAGTACATTTTATCAAGAACATGATTGCTACATAGTTGTAAATGCTCTTAAAACAAGGCTTAGCTCATCTGGCTTTTCACCAAAAGGCAGAACAGGCTAGTGACACAGTCCAAGGTAAAAAAATGAAAATGTTTACTGCAGCTGTGGGCTCTTGAATACTTCGGGTCATTGTTTGGTCTTGGGTTGCTTAATGTTAGAAAAGCTTGTAAACACTAGGCACACCTGAGGGAGCAATAAGCAAAAAAATAAAACCAGCTTGGGACTCATCCACAGGAATTTCTGTGGGATATCACTCTGAACTGGGCTTTCAGAGAGCAATTTGAAGTGGCACCACTCAGTCCTGCAATAGTTGTCACAGGCTTCTGGGAGGACTAGCTCCCTGTTTTGTGCCACTATTGAAAGCAAAGGGACACTCTGTTTTGTATAACTTTGTAAATATCAGGCAGTCAATTGTGTTAGCTGTATGGGTATGACAACACCAGGAGCCCAAAACCACAACCAAAGCTGCAATGCATTCGAAAAAAAATGAAAGCATAGTATGCCTTCCAATGAGGTTAAGATGTATTATTTGAAGGGGTTGAAAATAAACTTGTTTTAATCGAAGTATTTTGGGGAGGAAGAGTCTTTGGACTGAAGACTGTTTGTTAATATAGCAGTAAGTATGAATTCTGTCACTGAAATGAATGTATTTAACAGTGTGAGCAACAAACCATAGAAATGTCTTAGCCATGGATATGCTCACTTTAACCTCATTTGACCTTTGAAAAATTGTTTATCTCAAATATTTCTTTGAGCTGCAGGTTTGACTTACAGACTTCAGCCAGAAATATTCAAGTCACTCGGTTTGTATCAAAGAGGTAAGGCTCAGAGTTTTGCAGTGTTATAGCTTTTAGAGTATAGGAATCTTATGTTACAATGCATGGTTACATTACTTGACCCAGATCACAGCTTGTATCCATCTTTCAGGCGAGAAAAATTGACTTTGGCTGTTTCTTATCTCTACAAGTGTTAAGCTTTTTTCCAGAAAGGTGTTCAAGGCTTTTGAGATTTTAATGGTTCATAGGATTGCAAAGCATGTCATGTTAATCAAATGCAAGTGGTGAAAGAAGTCTGACAATTAGTGCCAAAATGCAATATTGGCAATAGTGCCAAAATATGGAATATTAAATGAAACTGTTAAGTGTTTGTTTAAAGATGTTAAGCAAAATTCTAAACATCATGACTAAATATACTTCATGACTAAATATACTTCATGTCACCATGTTTAAATAACTTTACACAGCAATTAGTGCAGAAAACTAGCATGATGATCACAGGAATTCTTATCGTCATGCTTCCTTGATGTATTGCATTAAAAATTATGGTATCTTGAAGATTGCACATAAAAAATATTACTGATACAAGATAAAACCAGAATTAAACCAGTGAACTCTGCTTATAGCTTCTCATACAGTACTTTGTCTGCAACATTGCTAATCCATGGCAATCTGTTACATCAATACATCTCCTGAGGCTTTCAAACCCACTGCCTTGCACTTTCCTTGAAAATCTATGTAGAACCTTGAATATTCAAGTTGAATCCAGTTTAATTTTCCTTCTGTAATTAAGTCTAAAAGTGATATAAAGGATTGGTTCTTACTCTGCAACTTGGAACTAGCTGCTAAAATTACATGGAATAACTGATAAACCCATGAAAACTAGGTATGCATGCAATTTAAATATTCAGGCTTTTCTCTTCTGAGATCTTTTTTAATCAGGCCTAGTTTCTATTTGTATGTGGAGAAAGTCAATAATGATGATAATAATAATAATAACAGCAACAAATCTAGTGTAATTTCTGCTTTTATACTGATCTAACAATATGCATGTGCATGAGTTTGACGTAAAAACTGTTGAACATTTTTGAGCATAGGCAAGAATGTTTGTGGTGACTGAAGTACTGAATGGCCTTAGCTAAAAGATACAGTGAGACAGTAAAAAATATTAGTTCTGGAAGAAATCTGATATTTGGTACAGACTGTAAATGTGTATTTCTTAAGTCAAGTGAAATCTTGGCAGCTATGTTTCTTAGAATATATATGATAGAGAAGTTCGTCATTAGATTATTAGAATCTGTAGTCATAAAAATTAGAGTTTGTATCCCTCTTGCAGCTTTAAAAGCATCATAAGGTGCAACACTGATCACTGCTGAACAATCCTCAGGAGATCTGGACAGAAGGAACTTGAAGAATGAAAAAGAAAAGACATCAGAAAATCCCAAACTCATAAGTATGCCAAGTCAGACTTAAAATGCCTATTCCTTTAAGTTTCTCAAACTTTGCTTTATTTCTTTGTTTGCTACAATATAAACTTTAAAGCAGTGATATGGTTAATATCATATCACATATACTTTAATTCTTGACAAGTGCATTCTGATGATAATTCTTTATTACAAAACTCAGCTTGGTTTCTCACTGGAAACAACTTCATCTGAACAACAAAAACAGTTTGATAAAGAAAGAATTGAGCTTTATGACTGGTGATTAATACCATTAACCCTGGTTCAGTGAAGATTTCTGATGAACAAGTTCAATTCATTAGGTCAACTATTGTTTGATCTAAATTATGCATATATTATGTAATTGCCATAAAATTGTTCTGAAGAAAGTTGAAGACTTTAGTGGCAGGAATTTGAATCTTAATGGAAAGCTCTCAGGAGGGAGGTTGACATGTCTAATAAGAAGCATAGAGAGAGCTTTCTATATCATAGTACCTTTCTGTCAGAATTGAGTGGGCTCATTAGAACTTCTAAAACACATTGCCTTAGTAGGCTGACAATTATTAGTGAATAATGGAAACACATAAGTGAAAAATCTAAATGGAATCCTATGGAGTTTTTGTAGCCTAAAATTGGTTTATTGCCTTACTAACATAGGCTATAGTAACACTCTGCAACCTCACCATTAAAGGGTGGGATTTTTGGTGGGCTGGTAATGCAAGGTGCTGAAAGAGATTTGTCTTTTTAGACCATTATCCACTGGCTAATGCACTGGGTTGTAGCTAATGAAAACAAGGTGGGATGAGCCCTGGGAGAGGCGGAAGAACAGAGCAGAATTTTATAAGCATGTACAGCTGAGGAAATTGTACTTAAAGGCAAAAGCACAGGTTTTAAATTCATTGGAATTTTCTTGAGAGCTGTCAAATTATTGTCGATATATGTAGTCAATTACTGTGGAAACTAGCATGTTTCTTTTCTCTTCAGTCTAATTTTGGCTATCTCTTGTGTGAGTAGAAGAGGAAAGCTGAATCTTAACCTAAGAACATACTGCAAGTCAAAATAATTAAGCCAAAAAAATTGTTTTTAAAGTGACTGCTAAGTATTCATAAGTGCTGAAATGAAATTTTAAGAAGTGGATTTTTTACATGACTCTCAAACTTTTAAATGGCCTAAATAATCTTTGATATTGTGTTTGGAGCACTTCAGAACATTTTCCTGTTTAGCTAGTAATTACCTAAAGGTAGGAGCTATTAGCTGCTGCCAGCTTAAAGAGAAATGGACAGTGAAATACTTGGCTAATGAATGGTATTTTCACCAGGAATGTCAATAGCAATTGTCTACCATATGTAAACCACAGAAAAGATTAATGGTGTTGAAATTGCATCATGATATTTTTCAAATTTCCAGAATTTGTAAATGTTAGGTTTTCCTGAGGAAGAAAGTTCTACTCAGGTCTTTTAGGGATAAGAGATTGTTATTTGGGGGTGGAAAAACTATCTTTCTGGTTCAAATATATTTTAAGCTCTTTTGCCAGATTACAGTATGCAAACATGGGCATGAAAATTTTTTTGGCTATACCTCAAGAAGGTATAGAACTAGCACAGAACTCTGGATTTCAGCACCTCTATGCCTTTGTTCTGTGGCTTATAAGATGTGCATCTATTATCAGTTCAGTGTTACTGTATATAAAACATCTTTCGCTATCTGGAATACAGTTTTGGTATAATATCACCAAATATCAGAATAGTAATTACTATGTGCATCTGGAGCAATTCTCATTATTCTTGCTCACGTTCAACCCAGGAATAAATTGGCTACGCTTCTCAATTTTTTTCTCAGACTACCTAAAAAACCCTAAAGTGTTAGATTGTTTCAGACTATATATAAGTGTATGCCAGATTGCCAGAGAGATAATTGAAATTTGGCCAGTAAAACTGAATCTTTCTTAAGAAAAAACTTTGGAAAAGTTTGTTTTGAAGACACTTAGCAAAATATTCAGACTTTTCAGACCATGAAAGAAAACATGGTACACAGCTGCACAGGTAATACACAGTGCAAACACTGCTGTCTCTTTACAGGAGCACTTCACACCAATGGCCATAACATTTGGGAATAGGGAGTTACAAGATGGATGGCATAAGATCTGTTGCATTTTGAGGATGAAGGAAGCCCCAGGAAAACCCTGTGGGGCAGCACTGCAGCAAAGGACCCATGGGATGGGTTGGAGGATGTGGTTGTGTGGATGCAGGCAGATGTAGCACCAGCATCCTTATAGGGTGGCTGTCTCCCAGAGCTCTGGTCTCAGTCAGGATCCAAAATCCAGGATTTCTTCCATGTGGAAAATAAAGGACTACTCTTTGAAAACCCATTCTGTAACGCAAAACAAAGCCACGCAGCTTTCGGATTTGAAACATAGCAACCAGGGCTGGTGCAAAAGCATGGAATTCCTACAGTTTTTCTATCCTGTTAACTCACTCCAGGTGTTAGAGCAGAGGGACCATTATGAAAAATATATGTCTTGTCAAATTCTAGCTCCTTTTTCACTACACAGTTTATGAAACAAATGGTTTCCTTAATTTAGTATGCTGTCAGGCTTTTCTTCTCATGTTCATTGATATTTTTTCCTAGATGCAAATTCCAGTAACAGGATTATACTTATGCTAATTGAGACAATTTAAAGTTCTGGGTTGTGATGGGGGAAAGGAGGTTTTTTTCTGTTGGTGAGACAATAGCTTTTCAGCTTCTGATTAGAACCAGTAAGGAGTTGTAGGATTTTTACTTTTTTTTCTCTCTAGGTAGAAATATAAAATTGTGAATTAGAGTAGTCTGAAGACACAAGTGGTAAATATTCTGGAATCCCAACAGGAAGCAAGTAACCACAGTCTTAGCAGAATTGTATCATATGGAGATCTGTCTTCACTTTTCAAGCTGAGAGTAATTTTTCCATTAAAGCAAAAATTGCATTGTAAAATCTTTTCAGACTCACACCTACTAAATACATTTCATATCTTATTTTAGTACTTTTTCTCCTTAATTTCAACCTGGACAGAGTTGAATCACTTCAGCTGGCAAATGCAGCAGTACCATAGGGCTTTAGACAAGGAACGAAGTAGCAAAAGGATCTCAGCCGACTACCAGCTTTTATCACTGTGATACAGAACAAAATGTCATCAGTTTCAGCTATGTTTGCACTCAGTCTGATATTGCTACCCACAAGGCATCTGCTGCAAGATTTAATTTTGTCACACTGGTAAATGTTTTTACCAGGGGAAATAGTTGAATGTGTGCAGTTAATGATAGGACACGTCTGCTGTTCTGCTGTCAAAAGCATCCATCTAGACGTAAATATTTTACATAAGCTTAAAAAGACAAAGGCTAACATGATTTCTGCTATTTGTACACACATCAGTGCTGCAAAGGGTGAAACATCAGTCACATTTCTCTAGAATTGACTAAGGATATGAAAATCTCTAACAGCTTGCTACTCAGATTGCCTGCACACATCTCCTGGCCTCTCTTATTAAGAAAGATGCAATCTCTGTGGGGAGAAAGAGATAAAAGACCAGAGAGAGGAAGATAACACACCCATCTGTTGGAGATTCAGAGTTGCTCTTCATTTTTCATTAAGTGCTGTAAAGGATCCTGTTCATCAGACTAAAAATTTAATGGGTGTATGGGACACACAGGGAAATAGATATCAACTAAGTAAAAAAGACTTTGGCTTGGAGAATTGTTTGAAAAAAGGTAACACACTATTTGAATAAAGGAACAGACAAAAGGTCCAGCAGAGAGCCGCCTGTGTTCCTAAGTGACCTTTTGCTGTTTAAGATGTACAGATCAGAACACTCTGTGCTGTTGTTTAACTGTGCTTTGCCTTTGCCTTTGGCACTTGTATTTCTTATGTACTTCAAAAGCTTGAAAACTGAAATAATGGAAATAACTGGAATATAAGGCTTTTCTTCTTAGCTTTTTCATTTTCTTTGTATTTATATCAAATAACCATTTTCCCCTTTGTCAGTTAATTTTAATCTGAAAGAAAAAAAAGTGAATTTTAGGTTTTTGGGGTTTTTTGTCACTCACAACTTGTTGTCACCTTGTAGGAGCATACAGACTGCTAAAATTTGAATTTTAGCAGGGTCATGTACCTGGATCAACTGCCAGAGCTATTTTTAGGCAAGCCCTGTGTCAGCAGGGTAAAGGGAGATGTGCACCATGCACTGCAGCAGACATTGGGTGCACAACAGCTGTGCTGGCAGTGATTAAATCTTTCAGAGCATCACTGTGTGCTGCAGAGGAACACTTTCTGGAAGGCATGTTGAGTAGCAGGATCCAGTGTCCCTTCCTCCCTCTCAGATGAGCCAATGCATCTCATACTTGGCTAGTAGCACTGCAATTTTCTCCTGCTGAATGCTCCTAAGACAGTTTGCTTTCACTGTAAACCAGTACTTTCAAGTTGCACTTATTCCTGTTGATGAATTGTTGCAGGTTTTTTCCTTCTAAAATGACTACTTTATCTTGAAGTGTCAAGGAAAGTTTGAAAACATAAATCTGAAACTTTCTGAAGTCAAGAAAGCTAGAAGCTTGAGTATTGTGCAAATTCATGGTTTTGATTCTCTCAAGTGTGCCCACCGTTAAGGAGAGAGAAAATGGACTTCTCTCACCTATTTTTAAAAAATGTAACTGAAATTCACAGCCAAATTGAAGGCAGCTACCTTCTTTCTTCCCAGTCAAATTTACAGGTTAATAAGAAATGACAGTTTTGAAATATTTGTAATCACTAGACTCCCTAAGACCAGTCACTCAGTGTGGTGCTCTGCATTGTTGTAAGGTTTTTGTTGGTCTAAAATATGACTTTTCCTTTTCTGTTCGTCGGAAAGACACATGTACCGTCTCATAGGAACAGCACTGGGGGTCCTTAAAAGGACACATATATTCATGGCATCTGCCTGGTTTTGTTTTTTTTTTAAATTTTGGTTTTTTACTTTGTGAAGATTTTTAGCACGTGCCTTTCATTTTTGAATATAAAAATGTCTGTTCTTGGCTCTTTTCCTTGACTAGTCCACTTTCACTCTAACATATTTTTGTGTCTCCCAAGAACATTACATTGGTAACTTCTAATCTGAACCTTGTGAATTTTTTTTCTTCCCCTATTGTCAGATAGTAAAATATTTTACACTTGTTGTTAATTTCACACATTCCTGGTAAGGAAGAATGGTTATCATTGTTCTAAACATGAAGTTGTATTTTTATTTATTTTGCCTTTTCATGCAGGGCTTGGATGAATTAGTGTTTGTACAAGTGACATGACAGGAAGGATCATTATTTCTATTGCTGCCCTCTGAGGAATTCACTAAATTGAGTTTGAAGACTGTGATATTTTCAACCTCAAGTATGCTGCTCTCTAATGGCAGTTACTTCCACTCCTTCTTTCTCAATTTTCAGTTTTTTCTGTCATGACTGTCTTTCTGTCTTCTACAAGTTCTGCCAGAAAATCCATGTTAGTAGTAATGTTATGTTTCACAGCATCCAAATATGTACTGATTTTACTCACAGAGCCCAGGCTGCTGCTTACAACTCTGAAAGTTGAAGTTTTTCCTAACTTTAGTAGGGTACAGACTAATTTATTAGCATTTGAACTTTATGTTTCAATCACAAAATGGTTATGGAGTAATATTTCGTCAGATGACCGGAATAAATTTTCCAGTAGTTGGAGGGCAAGAGTTCAAACACAACCATAGTGATAGGAGTTTTGGGTTGCTTTGTTTGGGTTTTATGTTTGTATTTTTGGTGGGTTTTTTAAGCAGTGGTTTCATTTAGTAGTAGCCTTCACTAAAAGAGGCTGTGGTAATCTCTGCTTCATGACACTTCAAACAAGTAAAGTCCAACCTTCTGTCCTGCTTACAGTTTTCTTTTTGTCTTTGCCATGTGGAACAGTAAAGTCTAATAGGTTTGGTACAAAACTGGCTTCAATATCTGTTTTCTTTTTTTTTTTTTTAATGCCATTATTATCCCCAGGTTCTTCTACTTCCTTCTTTATTACATAGCTGTAAATGTGTTCAACTTATTTTTACTGGAAAGTACAGGTTTAAAAATAGCTTAGGTAGAATTCCCACATTTAAATACATGCTGTCTGAGGGACGTGGAATTGTTTTTGCTAACTTTCATGACAACATATTCACAGACATGGACAGCAAATAATCATGAGCTTCTTTTGTGTTAACAGTAATCCAAAGACTCTCTGTAGCCTTTGTGTCTTTCCTGTTGGTGGATATGTGCTGTGTGATCCTAGGCTCTTGTATATGTTCTTTTCAACCCTATGAAATACTTTGCTTTATATAAAACCTATATTTTAATTTAAAAATATCAGAGATGCATTATAATATTTTAAAATTTTGCCAACCTTAAATGTGAGTTGTGTTTTCTTTAGTAATGATTGGTAGTGGGTATCTGTGATCATGACAGTGCACCTTGTAGCTATGCTCTTAGATGCATAATCAAATGGATGAAATACTTACTCAAAAACAAAAGGAAAAAAATACCAACGCAAAACCAGACGAAAATGTTCTAGCAAGTCCAAGCCCCACCTTCTGGTCTCTCTGACATATTACCACAAATTGTTGTGAAATTAATCATAAATTTCCATTCCCATCATTGGCCATCATTAACTCAATTTCTGTAACATTTCTGAAGCTGAACTTTACACTTACAAATTTAAACTGGGTTTTAAGGTTGTTTAAGCAATGTTATACTCCTACCTTACCTTAGACAGCTGGGTTCAATCTCAATAAGTTATTGTATATTCTTGCTTTGTATTTGTTCTACTAAACAATTACTGTATCAATATTAGCATGTTCTACTTATAATAGGCTGTAATATTGTTGTGATTGAAATAATGATGCTTGTAAAACAAGCTACAGTCCTTGGATAGATTAACATTTTTATACTGACTTTTATATTTAGCTGTGCCATCCTTACTTGAAGTCCCCACAAAGGAGATATTCAATCTCAAGGCAGAACTCACTTGCCATTTCTTGCCATGATGCAGTCTCATCTGCCTATCTACACTTAATCCTAAAACTATTTATGGAAGATCTAAAGTTATTCTTTCTGAAGGAAGAATGCTGAATATTTTTCTGTGTAATATCAGTGAATTGTTGCTTTGGGAATGAATTGAGAACTTTCTAAAGTATTTGCTCTGGCATTACTTTAATTACCAGAATTACTGGTAACTGAGCTTTTTGCAAAGTCAGTTTCTTGCAAAGTCAACTCAAACTTCTCCTTCACTTTCTGGGACATTGAAAATTCTAATACTTTACTGCCTCACTGGTAGTATCTCCTGATGGTTAAAACTTCCTCATGACAATATCTGGTGATAGGTTCTTCATCCTAGATTACCTTGAAATAAATGTGTTTTGGTGCCCTGGGCATCTTTTAAGAAAGGAAGCCCCAGCAGAGAAAACTTTCTAAGCATGTTTCATGTCAAGTCTTTAACATTTGTTATATCCACGCTATTAAATGCCTAAATTTTGGCTAAAACACGCCTAATTTTATCTTAAAGCCCCTGCCAGTTCAAACCCCAATACAGTGAGGAAGAGCTGGTAGCTCCTGGCTGAAATTCACCTTCTGAGCTGTCCCAGTGTATTTGCCGCTAGGCAGCTGT